CCCGGCTCATTTTGATTTATTGTAGAGATGAGGTCTCACCAAGTTGCCCAGGTGGGTCTCGAACCCACAAGCTCAGGCAATCCACTCACTTCAGCCTCCCAAAGGCGCGGGATTATAGGCTGAGTCACCGAGCCTGGCTTTTTAAAAATTTTATATATATATTTTTAGAGACACATCTTGAGCTCTATTGTCCAGTCTAGAGTGTATCAGAGCAATCATAGTTCACTGTAACCTTGGTGTCATGTGCCACCACACCCAGCTAATTTTTTCTTTCTTTTTTGGGGCAGGGGGAAGAGACAGGTCTTGCTATGTTGCCCAGGCTGGTGTCAAACTCTTGGGCTTAAGTGATCCTCCTGCCTCAGCTTTTGAAAGCACTGGGATTCCAGGTGTGAGCTACCATGCCCAGGCTGGAGTGCAGTAGCAAGCTCACAGCCACCGTAGCCTCGACCTGCTGGGCTCAGGCGATCCTTCCACCTCAGCCTTCTGAGTAGCTGGAGCCACAGGCATGCGTCATCACACCTGGCTGATTTTTTAATTTATTATAGAGATGAGGTCTTGCCAAGTTGCCCAGGTTGGTCTCAAACCCCTAGGCTCAGGCCATCCTCTTGCCTCTGCCTCCCAAAGTGCTGGGATTATAGGCATGAGCCACCACACCCGGCTTCTTTATTCTTTTTAATCTTGTTTTTTTGTCTCCAAGTGCTGCTTCCTCAAATTCCAAGTCTACCCTGAGTATGAGTACCTCAGTATTCTTTTTTCTTTGATACACTGCCACTTTCTGCCCAACAGGACCAAATCTCTTTTCAGTTTGGTTTTTGGAAGGTCAAAAGCACATTACAAATATTATTGAGTAAGAGCATGAAAATCATCTCAGACAACCTATAATTTCCTTTGAAAGAGCCATATCAAAATTACTGAGGAGGAAGGAATGAGAGAGAGAGTTCCTTTCTGGATGGTTGTTCTGTTCTAATTATCGATCTGGTAATGAATCAGAATCTAAGAGCAGTACTATGCAACCGTCCTGCATGCATAAACACTGTCGAAAAATATAAAATGTTCAGTGCCAGAAACTGGTCATATTTCAGATCCTAATAAGTATACACTGGTTCAAATTAAAAATATCAAGACAAATCAGAAGCCAGAGCACAACTTACGTGTACATTATCATCAGACTGTAATTGAAAATGCCAGTTCTTATTATGGTGCTTAGTGGTGTGTATATATCATCATGGCTGACAAATGCCATTATCAGACAGTTCCTTCTCTGAACTCTTACTGTATATAATCTCAGCATTACAAAAATCAACATTGCCTTTCTCTTGAATTGTTTTTGCAGTTAAGTCTCATTTCTCCAGAAGAATTCTACATTTTTTTTTTTTTTTTTTGAGTTGGAGTCTCACTCTGTCGCCCAGGCTGGAGTGCAGTGGCCGCTTCCGGTCACCGCAGCCTCGCCTGGTGGGCTCCAGTGATCCTTCCGCCTCAGCCTTCTGAGTAGCCAGAATTACAGGCATGCGCTACCACACCCCGCTGATTTTTTAATTTATTGTAGAGATGAGGTCTCGCTGCCCAGGCGGGTCTCGAACCCGTGGGCTCAGGCAGTCCACTCACCTCAGCCTCCCAAAGGCGCGGGATTACAGGCTGAGCCACCGAGCCCAGTTGAATTCTACATTTTTTAAGAGTAGGTACCATACCCATTTAGTCTTATTCCTCTCACACAGTGTCTGACACACAGCTGGAGTCACAATAGGCTTAGTATAAAATCTGAGATTGTAAAAAATAGCCACATTCTCTAATTTTTTCTTTAAACTTATCTGCACATATTAGCTTTAGAATCAGAAAAAATTATAAAAAATAAAAAGCTATAATCTCCAACAATCTATCTTTAGAAACGTCCCCAAGTACAGAATATGCCTAGTGTTAGGATGTTATTAAGTATTATGATCTATGTGTCTTTAGGTTCAGGTGGTCTTCCAACACTGAAAGAGAAATCACAAAGATTGTGACTGCACTCTCAACAGCTGGATTCCCAGGGTTAGAGCTGTTCAGAAAGTCATTAGTTATCTTGGAAAAAACAGTTTCCTCTCCAAAACACATGGTCTATGCAGACTCTTTGTGGTTAGGGTAAGGGCTGCAGGATTGCTACCATTTTCAAAAAACTCCAGATGCCTCTCCAAAATAAACTCCTGTTGAATCTTTGTACCAAAGCATTACTTTTCTTGCTTTCTTTTTTTATTTTTTATAGAGACAAGGTGTGGTTTCCCAGGCTGATCTGGTCTCAAACATCTGGGTTCAAGCAATTCTCCAGCCCCAGCCTCCCAAAGCGCTGGGATTATAGGTGTGAGCCACCATGCCCAGGAAATTGCTTTAACTTTTAAGCTTACATTATAATTCTATTCTTCTTTATTTGTAATTAATTATTCTTTTCTCTAAATTAACTTTCTAAGTCTTCAAAAACCACCTAGTAATTAATCCAAACATTTGTCCATTATTATCACTTTAAGGCAGAATAATGACCTAAGCCAAAGGCATTTCTTCTGACCCCAAAAGATGAGGCTTCTAAATCCCAAGTAAAAAGTCTTTACTCCCCATTTATTGTAAAGTGAACTCACTCACACACAATATAATAATCGCAGAACAGCTATTTCCTTGTAAGAAATATCTTTAAATTTTCAGTCAATCCCAAGACTCATCCACTACATATATTTTTTTCTTTTAGTTGGAGTCTCACTCTGTCCCTAGGCTGGAGTGCAGTGGCATGCTCACGTCACCGCAGCCTTGACCTGCTGGGTTCAGGTGATCCTTCTGCTTCAGTCTTCCAAGTAGCTGGAACTACAGGCACATGCCACCATATCCAGCTAATTTTTTTTATTTATTGTAGAAACGAGGTCTTGCCAAGTTGCCCAGGCTGGTCTTGAACCTGTGGGCTCAGGCAATTCTCTAGCCTCTGCCTCCCAAGGTGCTGGGATTACAGGCGTGAGCCACCATGCCCGGCTAGGAAATGGTTCTTATTCAGTGTCTTAAAAAAGAGAGCCTTGTATTGAGATCTAGTTTCTCTTGCTGATGCTTTCTGACAAAACTCTAGCTCTGTCAACTTTATACTCTTAGGATTCACCAGTCCTAAGAAAATATTTCATTTAAAAATGTTTTAGGCCAGGCTCAGTGGCTCAGCCTGTAATCCCAGCACTTTGGGAAGCCGAGGCAAGTGGATTGCCTGAGTTAGCGGTTCGAGACCCGCCTGGGCAACTTGGCAAGACCTCACCTCTACAATAAATTTTTTTAAAAAACTAGCCGGGTGTGGTAGCGCGCGACTGTAGTTCCAGCTACCTGGAAGGCTGAGGCGGAAGGATCACCCCAGCAGGTTGAGGCTGCAGTGGCTGGCAGCGTGCCACTGCACTCCAGTCTGGGCGACAGAGTGAGACTCCAACTCAAAAAAAAAATGTTTTAACACATCAGTTTCCCCTATTTAATCTTTTGTTTAATGCTGCTGAATTAGTGGAGCCAAAATACACTAGTTGGGTAAAGATCACTAGATGGCATCCCTGCATCTTACAAGTCTATCTAGTGCCACGTTCTCGGAAAGAAAGACTTGGAGAATAGGGAGTAGGAGTCTGTTTAAGGCTTGCTGTCCAGAAGGAAACAAAGAATGCATAAAGAATTAAAACTGTAACCGGGCTCGGTGGCTCAGCCTGTAATCCCGCGCCTTTGGGAGGCTGAGGTGAGTGGACTTCCTGAACCCGGGGGGTTCAAGATCCGCCTGGGCAACTTGGCGAGACCTCATCTCTACAATAAATAAAAAAAATTAGCCGGGCGTGGTAGCGCGCGCCTGTAGTTCCAGCTACTTGGAAGGCTGAGGCGGAAGGATCGCCGGAGCCCAGCGGGTCGAGGCTGCAGTGGCCGGGAGCGGCCACTGCACTCCAGTCTGGGAGACAGAGTGAGACTCCAACTCAAAAAAAAAAAAAAAGAATTAAAACTGTCAAAAGCAGGCCATGCCCAGGAAAGACTGTCGTTAAGGCTGTCCCTCTGCTGAAGGCACCTGACCTGTGTTAACTCTGAAGAGCCAGCTAGAAGCAGACAGAACATCTACTATAAGCTAGATACCGCAATACAGAGGATGTCCAAGGCCCTGGCCTTACCTCTGACCTCATCTCCTTCCACTCGTAGCAAAGAATACACGGGGACAGAAGGAATGGACAAGAAAGGCTGAAGGAGCGACCCAAAGTTATGACGCTAGAGCGTTTCGACTTGATCGAAAGGGGAACGGTTAAGTGTCCTTAGCGCAGTGACATGGTCCCGGAAGCGCACTTTGGGTAAGAGGGGACTGGAGTGGAAGCAGAGCACCAAAGGGACAGGGAGACCACTGAAGAGAAGAAAACACACGGAGCGGGGATGGGCCGCCTGACACATGTGGGAAAAGGCCTTGGGAACGGGTCCGGGGAGGATGGCAGGAGCCGATGGCGGGGCTGCCTGATGTGTCAGGAAAAGGCCTTGGGAACGGGTCCGGGGGATGGCAAGAAGCCGATGAGCACGGCTTAGGGCAGAACAACCGCACTGTCAGGGACAGTCTAGCCGAGCCGGAGGATCCCGGCGGGAGGAGGAAGGTGGGGCCCGAAGGAGGAAGTGAAAGCCAGCAAGAGCCCAAGGATCCGGAAGAGTCCCTTCCAAGCTTTCCTCGGCGCCTCTGCAAACCACCTGCGGCCTCCCTCCTCCCCGCCTCTCCCTGCTCGCCCGCTGACCGAACGAGTTGAGAAAGTCTGCGATTTTCTTGATGCTGCTGGTGATGACCTCAATGTACTCCCGGTTCGCCCAGTCCTGGTGGATCTCCCGCTGCACCGGATCCTCTTGTCCCGCCATGGCGGCCGCCCAAGGAAGAGCGACTGCGCAGGCGCGCCGACCCTACGGGCCGCCAGTGCGCCTGCGCCGCCAGCCCACACTCAGCTCCCTGGGCACCCACGAGCCCACGGGCATGTGGTGCGCCTGCGCGACGGCACGTCACCCCCGGTGATTTCGCTCGGCTCCCCCACCTATGAAAACATGCCTCAACGCAGGCGGGAAAGATAGAGTGCGCATGCGTCCAGAGCCACTCGCCCACGCCCGTCTCTGGCTGTTGTGGTCACTAGGGGGCGCGTGGGCTCGCGTCGCCTCCTTGCTCAGAGACTCCTAGCTCAGTTTGCGCAGTCTGTGTCAGCGATGGGATGGGCACAGTCCACTAAACCACTCTAAATACGGGTCATTTTAAATATCCCTTTTAGCGACATCAAATGAACAAAACATCTTTTTTTTTTTTTTGAGTTGGAGTCACACTCCGTGGCCCAGACTGGAGTGCAGTGGCCGCTCCCGGCCACCGCAGCCTCAACCTGCTGGACTCCGGCGATCCTTCCACCTCAGTCTTCCAAGTAGCTGGAACTACAGGTGCACACTACCATGCCTCGTTAATTTTTGACTTATTGTAGAGACGAGGTCTCACCAAGCTGCCCAGTCTTGTCTCAAACCCACGGGCTCAGGCAATCCACTTGCCTCAGCCTCCCAAAGTGCTGGGATTAGAGACTGAGCCACTGAGCCAGGCCAAATTTATTCTTAACCATTTTATTATTTTTGATGCTACTGTGAATGGACTGCATTAGATCAATCAGTATATACAGACTTCTCAGTATATGAGGGGGTGTGATGTTTCTAGTTCAAAGGTCAGTGGTGGTAAAAGACTGGTATATAAAAGTACACTGCCCCCCTTGGATTTGGCCATCTAGATTGTAGTATAGGGGCCCTCTAGTTTCCCTTAACGGTAGTTGTAAAGCCTCTTGACATCCATGGGGAGGGGAGCTGTCAGCAAAATTTCTCTGATGCCTTCCTGCTGGGGTGTAAGGAGTTAACACTGGTGGTTCTGGAGTAGCTGCTGCTTGAGGTGTTTCGGACGATCCTGGGGAAGTGGTGGATTCTGGGCTAAGACCAGCTTGTGGCACAGCTTCAGCTGTAGCAACTGCAGGGGGTGCGAGGGCAATGAGGGGTACAGAGGCACAAAAGGCGGGAGGTCTCCTCAGGTTCCTCAGGCAGAATGGTTTTTTTTGACCCTGGTCGGCACTTTGAGGGAGCTGTTGCTTGGGCCAGCATGATGCTATAGCTGTTTTCTAGACAGACTTTCATCCAAGGTGGGGGAGAGAGGACTACATCTTGCCAACAGTCAATGTGGGGAAACTGGTCTGGGTGGCCTGGATCCCCTGCAATCATGTCAAACACCTTACTAACTAGTCTCTTGTCTAGTGACCTCTCAGAGGGCCACCCCGCCCCAAGCAAAGGCCAGTCCACTTCACAGAGGGTCTGAAGCTTTCTGGGAGTTAATACCGTAATTCCCTGAATATCCCTTTTTGAAATTCTTTACCATACGCTCTAAGGGAGTAAGCTTACTCAACTTGCCACCCATTTCCTCCCACTAAAAGAGGACAATCACACACAAGACAGGAAGGAAGCCGGGCTCGGAGGCTCAGCCTGCAATCCCGCCCCTTTGGGAGGCTGAAGTGAGTGGGTTGCCTGAGCCCGTGGGTTCGAGACTCACCTGGGCAGGCGAGACCTCATCTCTATAATAAATCAAAAAACTAGCCGGGCATGGTAGCATGCCTGTAGTTTACACTACTTGGAAGGCTGAGGCGGAAGGATTGCCAGAGCCCAGCAGGTCGAGGCTGCGGTGGCCGGGAGCGGCCACTGCACTCCAGTCTGGGTGACAGAGTGAGACTCCGACTCAAAACAAACAAACAAAAGACAGGAAGGAATGGTGGGGTAAGAGGATGGAACAGCCCTTCACCCTTCACCAGCCATACCCCTCACAGGGATATTTCTGGTGTCTTCTGGCAATAGACGAATGGTATAACCCCCCAGCCAGGTTTCAGTCCCACTACAGGACTTATTCCCACTGTTTAACCATAAGAAGATCACCGCTGGACCCCAAATCTACTCCCGCCCTTTAGCCATGTGAAGGTCACCACTGGAACCAAATCAGGGCTACAGCCCTCGCTCTGCCATTAAGTGACGTCTCGTTCACTCACATTTGCACATCTCCAACCTGCTGCCAGTGCCTTAGAGTTATAGTTTTGTCCCCCTGTGGGATGACTCAGGCAACTCTGGGAGGTGATCAGGCTCCCTTTCTGCCTCTTAGTGGCAGGTCTGCTAAATTGAACCTGGGTTCTTATCAATCTGACGGGCATGGCTCCCTTGACTGGTTCCTGGACCTCACCGTTTCCTTTGAGCTCCTGGAGTCCTCCCTTCAGCATGCCAGGAGGGCTAATGCCTTGCGGATCAAGTGGTCCACTGGCACCAAGTGAGGTCATCTCTTCCGGTGTCCTGGGGGTCTCACCCCGGTGACAAGGGAGGTGATAACACTGTCTCTGTCAGTGACCAGCACTGACCAAGGGTGGGTTAGGACCCGCACCGGAGAATCTGGACGGCGAGAAGAGACCACTCGGAGGCAGTTCTTCTGGGAACAGTCTGATCAGGACTGAAGCCAAATTTTATTCGGACTCCTTCCAACTTATATACCATTTTCTATACCCTCCAGCAGTGTGATAATCACTTGCTGGGGGCGCACAAGTTCCGTGCTTTACAAACTATGCATCACAAGACCATCACAGATTTGCAAGTTCCAAGCAAACAATTCGAATTCCATGACGCCTGTCGTGCTTCACAAAACCCACATTAAGGTCACAGGCACACAATTTCAATACAGATCGTTCAAAGTGTTTTCCATAATGTTCAACGAATCATTCATATTATACTCTTTGTTCTAAACCCTGATTAATACAAAAAAGTTTTCTAAGTTAACTCTAGGTTCAATCCAAGTTCACTGACTCCTAATATTTTTAACGATTAATATTATCAACTTAACACTATACTATAATCTATAAGTTTACTTAAATGACTTAGCTGTTAGTTATACTATTATCCTATTACGATTTAACGTAATGCCTTATAACTCAGTTAAAACTTATTCTTAAACTACCAAACTTTACTATAATTCATATAAGTTTTATATGTCTAAACTTTAATTTTTATATAATCTAATGATTGACCTTTAATACTATGCTATATCCTATTAAGCTAATACCTCATCATTAATTATTTTATAAATCTTATAGTAACTATTATATTTGAATAATGTAGCAAAAGGAAACAAAACAGCAAGCATAAATTTACGCAACTATGAGTGTATATGTATATATTTTATCCTAACAAGTCTACTCTAAAAATCAAATAGTAGCTGTCACACTCTTGAACAAGGAAATGCATGGCCGCCATGATGGTGGCTATGGGCTGAAGCAGACAGAGTTTTGGTAATTAACGAAACAAAAGAAAACGTTTTGCCTGGTTAGGGGCAGGCTGACAAAACTATTTAGTTTCTAATTTTAGCCCTAGGGGAGACTGCTTTTGGTAACAAGAGCTGATTACCCAGTCTACCAGGAAATAGAAGTTTAAAAATATCTAGAAAGAAGTAAAACTTAGAAAGACAGAGAAAAATAATTCTGCTGTGCACTCTCCATCAGGCATATTAATATTTACTTATAAGTTTTACTGCCATGTATGCACACTGGTCACTAATCACATGCCAATATTATAGGTATAAGTGATATCCTATGTCAGAGGCGATCTTCCAGATGGGCCTTTATAGACCTCAGCCATGTAGCTATAGATGTTGGCTCCCAACACGTCTCCATCTCCCGATTCCTGGCCAATGCACCAGAAATGTAGCAGGATTTTAGAGAGAGAGTCGGGACACCGAAGTCAGGAAGCAGTTTTATTCATGCCGGTGCTGGCTTAGTGGATTCAAATCCAAAGGCTGAGCCCCAAGTACAGGGGGCATTGCCTTTTTTACATTTTTAGCTTCTTTGTCCCCCCAGTAAGGTTTACATATTAGTATCAAACGGGCTAGTTGGGTATTTCACAGCTCGAGGTTAGAGTTATACATGCGCACTACAGATTGGGGGCTGTATTTCTTGCTAACACAGATCTTCCAAGAAAGTTCTTATCTTATGGTACTAGAAGGACTCTTTCATTATTCTGGGAAGGACTTGATCTTACTGTACTAAGGGGAGGACCCCTGCTCTGTCCTGGGAAGGTCTTCCTCTCATTAGGCTTGGGGGAAGTGTTCCCTGCCTCAGGAGGGTCACTGGAGCCCAGAAGATTGAGGCCAGCCTGGGAAATATAATGAGACTCTGTGTCTATAAATGAGAATGGTGTAGACACTGAAGGCAATGCTATCAATATTATGCAATCGATTTTATTTATTTATTTACTTTTTTGAGTTGGAGTCTCACTCTGTCACCCAGGCTGGAATGCAGTGGCACTCTCATAGTCAACCCAGCATCGACCTGCTGGGCTCAGGTGATCCTTCCACCTCAGTCTTCCAAATAGCTGGAACTACAGGCATACGCTACCACATCCATCTAATTTTTTTATTTATTGTAGAGATGAGTTCTCACCAAGTTACCCAGGGTGGTCTTGAACCCCTCGGATCAGGCAATCCTCTCACCTTGGCCTCCCAAAGTGCTGGGATTACAGACTTGACCCACTGCACCTGATTGCAATCAATTTTTTTTTTTTTTTTTTGAGTTGGAGTCTCACTCTGTTGCCCAGACTGGAGTGCAGTGGCCGCTCCCGGCCACTGCAACCTCGACCTGCTGGGCTCCGGCGATCCTTCCACCTCAGCCTTCCGAGTAGCTGGAATTACAGGCACGTGCTACCACGCCCGGCTGATTTTTTGATTTATTGTAGAGATGAGGTCTCGCTGCCCAGGCGGGTCTCGAACCCGCGGGCTCAGGCAATCCACTCACCTCAGCCTCCCAAAGGCGCGGGATTACAGGCTGAGCCACCGAGCCCGGCTTGCAATCAATTTTTAAAAAAATTTTTAAGAGATGGGATCTTACTATGTTGTTCAGGCTGGTCTCAAACTCTAGGGCTCAAGTGATCCACCTCAGCCTCAGAGTAGCTGGGAATACAGGCACGAGCCACATACCTGGCTGATACAGTCATTTATTTTTTGAGTCAGAGTCTCACTCTGTTGCCCAGGCTGGAGTGCAGTGGTATAATCATGATGATCACAGTTTAGAGCAGCCTCGACCTCTTGGACTCAGGTGATCCTTCCACCTCAGCATTCCAAGAAGCTGGGGCTACAGGTTCACGCCACCACCAGATAATTTTTTAAATTTTTTGTAAAGAAAAGTTTTCGCTATGTTGCCCAGGCTAGTCTCAAACTTGTGGGCTCAAGCAATCTACCTGCTTTGGTCTCCCAAATTACTGGGATTACAGGTGCAAGCCACCATACCTAGCTGACACTAACTGCTAATTATTAACACTAGGACAACATGAAAACACAGGATAAATCGAATGGAAAAACAAAATACAATTTTTCATTTAGTTGCAACTAAGAAAAAATGTCTGCTTAAATACAAGACATGTATACCAAAAATGTCAATATCTGATTTGTTAAAGTAGTGAAATATGAAAAGTTTTATTCTTGTTTCAGGGAATATTTACAATCGTGTACAATAAATACCTTTTATTTTATTTTAAAATGTGGCCAAAAAATTAGATTCGTTTTAGTAGTAACTGGGAAGAAACCATTACCAACAGTTCTTTACTCCAGTAGAGAATTTTATAATTTATAAAAATGCTTTTATAGGCCAGGCTCGGTGGCTCAGCCTGTAATTCCAGCACTTCAGGATTGCCTGAGCCTACGGGTTCGAGACCAGCCCTGGCAACCTGGTGAGACCTCGTTTCTACAATGCATCAAAAAATTAGCTGGAGCCGGGCTCGGTGGCTCAGCCTGTTATCTCGTGCCTTGGGAGGCTGAGGTGAGTAAATTGCCTGAGCCTGTAGGTTCGAAACCCGCCTGGGCAACTTGATGAGACCTCATCTCTACAATAAATCAAGTATCAGCCAGGCGTGGTAGCCAGGGATTGCCGAAGCCCAGCAGGTCGAGGCTGCGGTGGCTGGGAGCAGCCACTGCACTCCAGTCTGGGTGACGGAGTGAAACTCCAACTCAAAAAAAAAAAAAAAAATTAGCTGGATGTGGTAGTGCGCACCTGTAGTTCTGGCTACTTGGGAAGGCTGAGGTGGAAGGATCGCCTAAGTCCAGCAGGTGGAGGCTGCGGTGGCCGTGAGCATGCCACTGCACTTCAGCCTGGGTGGCAGAATGAGACTTCAACTCAAAAAAATAAAAATAAAATAAAATAAATTTTAAAAAATTAGCCAACTGTGGTGGCAGGCACCTGTAGTTCCAGCTACTCAGAAGGCTGAGGCGGAAGGATTGCCTGAGCCCAGTACGTTGAGGCTATGGTGGCCGTGAGCGTGCCACTGCACTCCAGCTGGGCGAGAGTGAGAGTCTGACTCAAAAAAAAGAAAGAAAAGAGAACAGGTTAAAGTGTGTCTGAGATCTCCTATGTATTCATACAGATTTTTTTTTTTAACTCTAAGACCCTGTTGCCCAGGCTAGAGTGCAGTAGCACAATTACGGTTCACCACAGCCTTGACATTCTTCTGCCTCAGCCTCCTAAGTAGATGGGACTACAGGTGTGCACTAGTATGCCCAGCTAATTTTTTTATTTTTTGTAGAGACAGGGTCTTGCTATGTCACCCAGGCTGGTCTCGAACTCCTGGGCTCAAGCAATCCTCTCGCCTTGGCATCCCAAAGTATGCCTCCCATTATAGGCATGGGCCACCACACCTGGCCTACAGCCAACAATTTTTTTTTTTTGAGTTGGAGTCTCACTCTGTTGCCCAGACTGGAGTGCAGTGGCCGCTCCTGGTCACCGCAGCCTCGACCTGCTGGGCTCCGGCGATCCTTCCGCCTCAGCCTTCCAAGTAGCCGGAATTACAGGCATGCACTACCACGCCCGGCTGATTTTTTGATTTAATGTAGAGATGAGGTCTTGCCAAGTTGCCCAGATGGGTCTCGAACCCGCAGGCTCAGGCAATCCACTCACCTCAGCCTCCCAAAGGTGCGGAATTACAGGCTGAGCCACCACACCCAGCTATCAACTTTTAAAAATGAATTATCCTCTTCCATGGACAAGTCAGACTCAGCTCTTCTTTTGCTTGACTTCCAATATGCCTGACATCCCCTGTAATTTCCAATGACTCAAGGATATAATGCTGTGCTTGCATAAAGATGATTCCTCTGAACTTCAGCTTTTTTTTTCCCGAGTCGGAGTCTCACTGTCACCCAGGCTGGAGTGCAGTGGCATACTTACTGCCACCACAAACTCAACCTGCTGGGCTCAGGTGGATCCTTCTGCCTCAGCCTCCCAGGTAGCTGGAACTATAGGCGTGCACCACCACTCCCAGCTAATTTTTTGCTTTATTGTAGAGACGAGGTCTCACCAAGTTGCCCAGGCTGGTCTCGAACCCCTGGACTCAGGCAATCCTCTTGCCTTTGCCTCCCAAAGTGCTGGAATTACAGGTGTGAGCCACACCTGGCCTAGCTTTTAGCTAGATGCCTTACAGCTTGCTGTCAGTCCTCTAGTTATGTGGGTTTGCCAGCAGGGTAGCTCTTCACTGTAGGAATTGTTTCTGATGAGTGACACAGGGCTTCAGAGGCCAGCTTTAAGAATATTGGTACAACAAAGAATCCTTCAGGGTGGCAATTGCCTTCAGATATGGGAACCAGAACCCTGTCTTCATCCTTAGCTGGTCATACACTTCGCAGAACTTGAGAATCTCCATGAATTCAGGTATAAGAATCAATGTGGGCTGGGTTCGGTTGGCTCAGCCTGTAATCCCAGTACTTTGGGAGGCCAAGGTGAGTGGACTGCCTGAGCCCGCGGGTTCGAAACCAGTCTTGTCAACTTGGCAAGACCTCGTCTCTACAATAAATAAATAAATAAGTAGCCGGGTGTAGTAGCATGCGCCTGCAATTCCAGCTACTTGGAAGGCTGAGGCAGAAGGATCGCTGGAGCCCAGCGGGTCAAGGCTGCGGTGGCCGGGAGGGTGCCACTGCACTCCAGTCTGGGTGACAGAGTGAGACTCCAACTCAAAAAATAAATAAAATGAAAATTAAAAAAAGAAAAGAAAATTACAGGTGTCTCTTTTATTCAAGAGGAAAATAAAAGTGAACTGGGAAAAGTTTTGTAGTTGAAAATTATTGGCTGGGCTCGGTGGCTCAGCCTGTAAGCCCAGTGCTTTGGGAGGCCGAGGGGGTGAGTGGATTGCCTGAGCCTGCGGGTTCGAGACCCGCCTGAGCAACTTGGCGAGACCTCATCTCTACAATAAATAAAATAATTTCTGGGTTCGGTGGCTCAGCCTGTAATCCCGCACCTTTGGAAGGCTGAGGTGAGTGGATTGCCTGAGCCCACGGGTTTGAGACCCGCCTGGGCAGCGAGACCTCATCTCTACAATAAATCAAAAAATCAGCCAGGCTGGTAGCGCATACCTGTAATTCCGGCTACTTGGAAGGCTGAGGCGGAAGGATCGCTGGAGCCCAGCAGGTCGAGGCTGCGGTGGCCAGGAGCGGCCATGGCACTCCAGTCTGGGCGACAGAGTGAGACTCCAACGCAAAAAAAACCAAAAAAAAAGGTTTTCGTCTGAGACAAAAAATATTGCCCAAGTTAGTTTCAGCCTCCCAAGTACCTAGGATTATAGGCTCCTGCCATGGCAGGGGCCCTTCTGAGGTTTAACATAAGACAGAGAAATTTTTTCAGTCCGAAAGTCAAGGAAAGAACTTATTCTTTCTCTAGATAGGCAAACATCTATAAATTGTCTCCTTGCACTGGGATGCCAAGAGCAACAAAAGCCTTCAGGGCCCTGAGTCCCTCAGCCGGAATACCCACCAAGCTGGGTAAAATGAGTAGAATAACTTTAATCCTAAATACAGGCCCTGGGACTTGTATACAGGTCCCTGACCTTAGTCTTTGAAGTAGGAGGGTCTGCCCTCTGTGACCTGATCCAAGGCACACAGGTATGTCCTGGTGGAGAGGACAGCGGAAGGAATGGGATTTGAACTAGCTCTTCTGATGCCTGAGTCCTGGACTGGACGTCCCAAGGAAGTGGGGGTGGGGAGTCCCCCAGAGGTGCGTCTCGAGCCCCAGCCTTCCGCTCGGGTTCTCCCGCGGTCCCGGGTCACAAAGGCGGTTGCCAGGCGCCGGGAAGAGAACAGATGCGCGCGAACAGCGGCAGCCACTCTGGAGCGTGCGGCCTGCGGAGTTCAGCAGGTGAGCCTCTGGCCTGGATGGTGGGGCCGGGCTCGGGCTCCCACCACCTCCTCCGCCTCGACCAGAGCCATCAGGCCTCTGCCCCTGGGTAGGAAACTCGGCGGCTAAGCCCCTTCTGGCGGGGAGTGGGGAGCCTCCAGAACCGGGGCAGCTCCAGACCCTTGGGGGTCTGTTTGCAGACCTCAACTGCATCTTGGCTCTACTTCCCTTTCCCAGGTGGGGAACTCAAGGGGTGGGTTCCTTGGAGCCAGAGGATCAGTATGAAGGTGAAACCTTTTTGACAAGTAGAACCAGGTGTCCTCTATCTGGAAGCTATTTAGAGAAGCTTGACCAAACTTCCTAAATTCAAGCCTTCTGGAGTAGATGATAGTGTCTTCTGGGTGGTGAGGATGGGGTGAAGCATCTTTTTTCTTTGAGTCAGAGTTTCACTCTGCCGCCCAGGCTGGAGTGCAGTGGCACTCTCAGGGCCACCGCAGCCTCAACCTGTTGGGTTCATGTGATCCTTCCACCTCAGCTTTCCAAGCAGCTGGAACCACAGGCATGCCACCAGCCCAGCTAATTTTTTTATTTATTGAAGAGACAGGCCTCACCAAGTTGCCCAGGCTGGTCTTGAACCCCTGAACTAATGCAATCCTCTCGCCTCCACGTCCCGAAGTGCTGGGATTACAGGCGTGAGCCACTGAGCTGGGCCTGAACACTTACAGTAATTTGCAAAGAGCCTACATAAATCATGAGAAACACACTAGTTAGAAAAAAGTGACAAATTTTCTTCATACTAGCCATTGTCCGGGACAGGTCTTCTGGTCTGAAATATCACTGACCATTTCTTTTAAAAAACAAACTTTTATCACACAAACTGTGTTGAAGGTGCCAACTTTTCATAGCATTTCTAGATGGAATGGGATCAGATATGACGCTGTTACGTTTTTTGGGAGAAATACACTTGGCTAGAAATAAAAGGGACCTGAATTCAGTAAAACTCTTTATATACTGGCGATTTTGAAGTAGAATAATGGACAATTCAAATTCTACTTGGAAAAACTTTGAGTTAGCAATCTCTTCACAGCCTTTTCTTTTATCTTCAAAGGAAAAAAATCAGTCTTAACCAGTGGGTCTCTGGTAGATGAAAAAAAAAAGCCACAACATAAAACAATAAGGGGAGACACCCCTTATCAACAAGGGTGCCTGAACGATGCACATTTGTATACCTAACCCTTAACTGTACCCCACAGTTTTATAATAAAGTATGTTTAAAAATAAATAAATAAAATAAATAGTTAAGTGGCATACTTGGGGGGAAAAAACATAAAACAATAAAAACTCATACCTAGAAAAACAAAAACACTTCAACAGTCTTTGGAAGAGTTTCTCCCTCCAGCCTGGTGTAGCTCTCTGAGGTGGTACATAAGTAGCCCAGGACTCTGCTAGAAAACAGAGGCTTTTAGGGTCAGGAGCTGACTATCTCCATGATGAAGGCTAGTGAAAGCTAGGGCTGCTTAAAAGGAATAGCACAAGAAGTTCTTGAAAGATACAGTTCAAGAGAGTCCCTTGAGGGCTTGTATAAATGTAGACTGCTGGGTCCCATCTGTTTCTGTTTCTGTAAGTCTGAGGTGAGGCACAAAATGTTGCATTTCTACCAAGTTCCCAAATGATGCGGAAGTTGTTAGCCCAGGGATATTTTGAGAACCACTGGTGTAAAGTATGTGGTGCTAGAGTCAAATATTGGTAAGATGTGATCCTTCTGAGCTTCTTCTAATGTCAAATATGATAAGGTCTCACTGTGAAGTCCTAGCAGCCTCTGCCACCTCAGAGACATAGATTTTGTCATTGGCAGCTAACAACACACATAGGGCCTAAAGGTGGACTGGGATATTCCACTTCAAACAAATCCATATCTGCATGGTTATGGGGTTAAAACCTACTTCCAGAGGCGTGTGAAAAGGTTTAAACAAGTTTTAGTACACACAGTAGTTGCTAGATTCAACATTTGTTCCCATTCCCTACGGCCCTTTAGAGGATTACTAATACTGAAACATTTGCTGCAATCTGTTTGTGGGAACTACCTAGAAAGTTAAGTCAATCATGAGCAAAGAGATGGGAATTTGTACAGCTATGCCCTCATCAAAAGCATGCCACAGAAATTCCATGTTCTGATTCCTCTCCTTTAGGACTGACAATGGCAGGATACCAGCTCTGGTCACCATGGACCCCACTGGATGAGAGCTTCCAATGGCTGCGGCATACAACACCTACACCCTCCTCCAAGCACCCCTTTAGGGCCTCCCCCTGCTTCTCACACACCCCTTCTGATCTGGAAGTGCAGCTGTGCTTTCAAGAGGTCACTCTAGTCCTAGACAGCCCATTCGTGGAAACTGGTGTGAGTCCCAAGTTACCATGCCACACATCAGAGCTCCGAACCATGAACAACAAGAAAGGACTGGTCAGGAAGCCCCAGCCTGTCCGCCTCAGTGGAGTGGATTCTGTCTTTGGTAGGGTCATCACGGTTCAGCCGCCAAAGTGGACCGGGACCTTCAGAGTTTCAGACAAGTCAGCCTTTTGCAAAATTATTAGCAGGGAACACCAGTGGCCCACTGGACTTAAGGAGCCTCAGATTCAGATGACAGTGACTATGTGCAAACAGATGCTGCGCTCTATCCTCTTGCTGTATGCAACGTACAAGAAGTGCACCTTTGCCTTGCAACATTCCAAGTAAAGAGAACTCGTGTGCTCCCCTGGTTCTGCACACCATGCCCTTTGGTATGTACCTGACGCACACAGAAGCCTGTCCATGAAAATGAAACTATGACATTGTCTTGGCCATCTTGCTTTTCTGTCAAGTAGTGATGATTTGAGAGCCCCTTTCCTTCCTCTCCCTCCAAAAAAGGGCCAGTGATACACAGCAAGGAAGAACATTTGCAGTGTAAAGTTGAACAACCATTTAAAGGAGAGTCAAACTAGCATCAAAATATACATGTACTAATGAACCATTAAACCATACAAACCAATGAGCCTAGTGTGAACTCACTTAAACACTTAAGACCACAACGAGTTGCAGGTAAAGGGAGTGTGAAGGAAAAAGATGTATCGATTTCTATATACCAGAGGATAAAGGGATCAAAAATATATATATAGGTAAAAATTAGCTTAAAAAACAAATAACCTCCCCCTCACCAAAACAATGATGATAAAAAAAAAAAAACTCTAACCAGCCATACCTGAATACCACTGGAGAGCACAAAAGTGGGTAGAAATATTAACAAATATTGAATAGTATCTATAGCCTGGCAAGAAAGATCTTGGTAGCAGCACTGAAGCTAGGCTTTCTAGAACTCATGAGAGTCTCCATTTTGGCTGAAATGTACCCCTAATATTCCACTACTAAGAAATACTTTTGTAGTATTCTTGTAACTAGATTATAAGCATAATTCAGAATATGAAAATAAACAGTATAAAAAAGTCAACATGAATTTGATGGTGGCTTTTTTTTGGTCTTATACTAACACACCAACCAAAAAAAAAATTTTTTTTTTTTAGTTGGAGTCCCACTCCAGTGCCCAGGTTGGAGTGTAGTGGCACGCTCACGGTCACCCCAGCGTTGACCTGCTAGGCTCAGGCGATCCTTCCACGTCAGCCTTCCAAGTAGCCGGACCTACAGGCGTGCACTACCACACCTGTCTAATTTTTTATTTATTGTAGAGACAAGGTCTCGCCAAGTTGCCCAGGCTGTTCTCACACCTGCGGGCTCAAGCAATCCACTTGCCTCGGCCTCCCAAAGTGCTGGGATTACAGGCTGAGCCATCCAGCCCAGACCCCTAAATTTAAAAAGTGCCAAAATATTCCTTTTGACTTTCTTTGGATATTGACAAGAAGTTCGATCACTACTCTAGAAAGATCACAAAGATTTTCTCATCTCAGATGAAGTTGGTCCTTAAAATAAGAGACATGATTTTAATCAGTAGAACTGTTAGCACCAGTCTCCATTATCTCTCTGTACAAACTCAATTCAATTCCACCTAATCCTTAAATAATGAAGGAAATTCAGAAATCAGGTAGCTGAGGCAAAACTTAGAACAGAATTTATTTGTAACACTGGTATAAACCTAAATTCTTGAATAACTGAAAGAATGTCAAAATTAGCTCCAAAAGCTCAGAATCATGACTCAGTTTTTACTTCGCAGTGTACCACTGCGATGTTTATCCAAACCAATAAATAATGCTACACAGGAATCCTAAGCTAGAGACTTTGCTAATGTTCGACAATCTATGAAATCCACAACTAAGTTAATTAAAGAGAGCCCCTTATTTAAAGACAAAATAGGATCCTCCCAGTTAGAAAGGCAAATAGCAGCTTTGGAATCCTTAACAAAATTGTCAGAGGCTGCCAGAGATGGAGAAGGAGGCAATATACTCTCTGGGTTCTAATCAGAGTCGCCATAACTCTCATCGCTGTCTCGCTCCTTTTCTCCAGTACTTGCCTCATAATCTTCGTCCTAAGGAGCAAAGGACAAATAAGTAGTTTAGGTCACTGTTCTTGGCAACCCCATGAATACAGCCCCCACAGGATGGACAACTGTACTACTGTGATTCTTAAAACTAATGATAGATTTTATTTTTTATTTATCTATTTTATTTATCTATTTTTGTTCCAGCGATCTTTCTGCCTCAGTCTTCTAAGTAGCCAGAACAACAGGTGCGTGCTACCATGTCCAGCTAATTTCTGATTCATTGTAGAGACGAGGTCTTGCCAAGTTGCCCGGGTTGGTCTCGAACCCTCAGCCTTGGGCAATCTACTTGCCTCAGCCTTCCAAAGTGCTGGGATTATAGGCTGAGTCACCGAGCCCAGCCGATTTTATTTTATTTATTTATTATAATTTTTATTTTTATTTTTTTGAGTTGGAGTCTCACTCGGTCGCCCAGACTGGAGTGCAGTGGCCGCTCCTGGCCACCGCAGCCTTGCCTGCTGGGCTCCGGCGATCCTTGCGCCTCAGCCTTCCAGGTAGCCGGAATTACAGGCACGCACTACCACGCCCGGCTGATTTTTTGATTTATTGTAGAGATGAGGTCTCGCTGCCCAGGCGGGTCTTGAACCTGCGGGCTCAGGCAATCCACTTACCTCAGCCTCCCAAGGCATGGGATTACAGGCTGAGCCACCGAGTCTGGCTCGATTTTATTTTTTAAGTAAGGGTCTCATTCTGTTACCCAGGCTGGAGTGCAGTGGCACAATCACAGCTCACTGCAGCCTTGACCTCCTGGGTTCAGGCAATCCTTCCACCTCAGTTTCCCAAAGTGCTGGAATTACAGGTGTGTCCCACCATGCCTGGCTAATTTTTTTTTGTAGAGAGAAGGTCTCTACAAAAAATATGTTGCCTAGGCTGGTTTCAAACATCTGGGCTCAAGTGATCCTCCCATTTTAGCCTCCCAAAGTGCTGGGATTACAAACATGAGTCACTGTGCCTGGCCTAAGACTAATGACAGATTTTTTTTTTTTTTTTTGAGTTGGAGTCTCGCTCTGTCACCCAGACTGGAGTGCAGTGGCACGTTTCCAGCCATCACAGCCTCAACCTGCTGGGTTCCGGCGACCCTTCCGCCTCAGCCTTCTAAGTAGCTGGAACTACAAGTGTGTGCTACCACGACCAGCTAATTTTTAAAATTTTATTGTAGAGATGAGGTCTCACCAAGTTGCCCAGGCAGGTCTCAAATCCGCGGGCTCAGGCAATCCACTCACCTCAGCCTCCCAAAGCGCTGGGATTACAGGCTGGGCCACTGGGCTGGTTAATGAGATTTTAAACCACTCATTTGTAAGATGACTCACCTAAATGATTAGGTGGTTCACATTTCTAATCCCAGCATTTTGGGAGGCCGAGGTGAGAGGATTGCCTGAGCCCAGGGGTTCGAAACCATCTGGGTCACTTGGCAAGACCTCATCTCCACAATAAACCAAAAAATTAGCCAGGCGTGGTGGCGCATACCTATAGTTTCAACTACTTGGAAGGCTGAGGTGGAAGAATCGCCTGAGCCCAGCAGGTTGAGGCTGTGATGGCCATGAGTGTGCAACCGCACTCCATCCTGGGCGACAGAGTGAGACTCTGATTCAAAAAAAAAAAAGACTAAGACTCAGTGGCTACCCCATTTTTCTTCTTTACAATAATTTTAAAAATTAGCTGGGTGAACCGGGCTTGGTACCTCAGCCTGTAATCCCACGCCTTTATTTTTTTTTTGTAGAGAGAAGGTCTCTACAAAAAATATGTTGCCTAGGCTGGTTTCAAACATCTGGGCTCAAGTGATCCTCCCATTTTTTTTCCTTTATTTTTTTTTGAGTTGGAGTCTCACTGTCACTCAGGCTGCAGTGCAGTGGAATGCTCATGGCCACCGCAGCCTTGACCTGCTAGGCTCAGGCTATCCTTTCTCTTTAGCCTTCCAAGTAGCTGGAACTACAGGCCCGCGCCACCATACCCAGCTAATTTTTTTTTTTTTTTGAATTGGAGTCTCACTCTGTCACCCAGACTGGAGTGCAGTGGCCGCTCCTGGCCACCGCAGCCTCGACCTGCTGGGCTCCGGCGAACCTTCCGCGTAGCTGGAACTACAGGCGTGTGCTTTCATGCCCGGCTAATTTTTGATTTATTATAGAGATGAGGTCTCACCAAGTTGCCCAGGTGGGTCTCGAACCCACAAGCTCAGGCAATCCACTCACCTCAGCCTCCCAAAGGCGTGGGATTACAGGCTGAGCTACCAAGCCCAGTTCACCCAGCTAATTTTTAAAATTATTGTAGAGAGGATGTCTCGCCATGTTGCCTAGGCTTGTCTCAAGCCTGTGGCCTCAGGCAATCCTCTTGCTTCAGTCTCCTGAAGTGCTGGGATTATAGGATTGAGCCACCGCACTCAGCTCCCTCATTCTGCTTTTTTTTTTTTTTTTTGAGTTGGAGTCTCACTCTGTTGCCCAGACTGGAGTGCAGTGGCCGCTCCCGGCCACCACAGCCTCGACCT